CATCTCTGTCTGGCATAAGAGTAAAACAGGGAAGGTGACTCAACCATGGCTAACAAGGGAAATCAGAGATATTGTTAAAGCCAAGAGGAGGCGTATAAATTGTCCAGAAAAAAGCAGGAAACCTGAGGACTGAGAGAAATTTAAAATTCAGCAGAGGAGGACAAAGGGTTTAATTCAGAAGGGTGAAAGTAGGATACAAGAGTAAGCTTGCAGAAAACATAAAAGCTGACTGCAAAAGCTTCTATAGGTATGTGAAGAGAAAAAGACCGGTGAAGTTAAATGTAGGTCCCTTACAGGTCGAATTCATAATGGAAAACAAAGAGATGGCAGATCAGTTGAACAAATACTTTGGATCTGTTTCACTAAGAAGGACATAAATAACCTTTCGGAAATGCTAGGGGGCAGTGGGTCAAGCATGAAGGAGGAACTGAAGGAAATCCTTATTAGTCAGGAAATGGTATTTGGGAACTTCATGGGAAAACCTAAAAAGTCCCCAGGGCCTGATGCTCTACATCCAGAATACTTAAGGAAGTGGTCCTAGAAATAGTGGATGCATTGATGATCATTTTCCACCATTCCATAGATTCTGAAAGAGTTCCAATGGATTGGAGGGTAGCTAATGTAACCCCAACTTTTAAAAAAGGGAGGGGGAAATGGGGAATTATGGGCTGGTTAGACTTACGTTGGTGGTGGGGAAGATGTGGAGTGAATTATTAAGAATGTAATAATCGAACATTTCGAAAGTGGTGAAAGGATCGGTCCAAGTCAGCATGAATTCATTAAAGGGAAATCACATTTGACAAATCTTCTGGAATTTTTTGGGGATGTGACCAGTAGCGTGGACAAGGGTGAATTAATGGATGTCACATATCTGGACTTTCAAAAGGCTTATGACAAGGTCCCACACAAGAGATTTGTAAGCAAAATTAAAGCTCATGGTATTCGAGGTAATGTATTGATGTGGATAGAGAACTGGTTGGCAGACAGGAAGCAGAGAGTTGGAATAAATGGTCCTTTTCAGAGTGGCAGACAATGACGAGCGGGGTACTGCAGGGTTCAGTGCGGGGACCCCAGTTGTTCACAATACACATTAATAATTTGGACATAATTGGATGCAATATCTCCAAATTTGCAGACAACACTAAGCTGGGTGGCAGTGTGTACTGTGAGGAGGATGCTAAGAGGCTGCAGGGTGACTTGGACAAGCTAACGGAGTGCACAAATACATGGCAAATGCAATATAATGTGGATAATGAGAGATTATCCGCTTTGGTCACAAACAGTGGAAGGCAGATTATTATCTGAATGGTGGCAGTTTAAAAAAAGGTGAGTTGCAATCTGGGTGTTATGAAACAGTCGCTGAAGGTTGGCATGCAGGTGCAGCAGGTGGTGAGGAAAGCTAATGGCATGCTGACCTTAATAGTGAGACGATTTGAGTGAAGGAGTAGGAATGTCTTGCTGCAGTTACACAGGGCCGTGGAGAGGCCACACATGGAGTACTGTATGCAGTTTTGGTCTCCTAGTCCGAGGAAGGACATTCTTGTTATTGAGGCAGTCCAGTGAAACTTCACCAGACTGATACTCGGGATGGCAGGACTAATATATGAGGAAAGACTGGATCGACTGAACTTGTACTCAATGGAGTTTAGAAGAATGAGAGGAGATCTCATAGAAACATATAAAATGCTAATGGGACTGGACAGGTTAGATATAGGAAAAATGTTCCTGATGTTGGGGAAGTCTGGAACTAGGGGTCACATTCGAAGAATAAGGGGGAAGGCATTCAGGACTGAGATGAGGAAGCATTTCTTCACTCAGAGTTGTGAATCTGTAGAATTCTCTACCACAAAAAGTTTTTGGGGCCAGTTCATTAGATATATTCAAGAAGGAGCTGGACATAGCCCTTGCAGCTAAAGGGATCAAGGGGCATGGAGAGAAAGCGGGAGTGGGATACTGAAATTGCATGATCAACCATGATCATGTTATTGGTAGTGCAATCTCGAAGGGCCGAATGGCCGATGCCTGTACCTATTTTCTACGTTTCTAAAATTACAGTCTATGCACCATACCCCGAATGACATTGGCAGGTAGGTGCGAGTAGGATTCTTGTTTTAAAGTGTTTAAAACAGCACAAACGAAGAGGGTACTATTTCTGGGGAGATGCCCTTTTCTCATCAGGGGTATTTCACCAAGACACTACCAATTCCTTCCTACCTGCACATATTTTATCCACACCCATACACACTCCCTCTTCCCTATGGTGTGAAAGAAAACCCTGCCCAAAGCTCCCCAACTTAACTTACTCCAAAATCCTTCAGGTCTCCTTCACAGGCCTATTTGCAGGCCTAGCAGTGCCCAATACTAAGTTCTGGTGCTAAAACTGTTTCAGAGAACAGGGTTTCTTTCACTGGGAGATGGAAGTTCTACAATCCAACAATTCAATTGGTTTGCAGCACTTCAGAACACTCAAAAATGGATCACAAACATAAAATTGTCAAAGTGTATCTATCTTTATGCTGAATAACTTAGCTTATTAAAAACATTAAGTTTTGCATTTAGTTTCTTTAATAAAGTTTCAGGTAGATGATTAGGTTATGGCATATACACAGAATTATTTTCAGTTTTTTGGTGTACTGTATACATTATTAAACATAATCAAATACAGCATGAATGCATTTGTGCTTTGCCATTCATCAGTGATAACTTCATAGATGCATAGAAAATAGGGGCAATAGCATGTCATATTGCCCACCAAACCTGTTCCACCATTTAATATAATCATGGCTGATCCTCTATCACAAAGCCATAATCCTGCTCTCTCCCCATTTCCTTGATACCTTGAGCCTCTAGAAATCTATTTCTTTCTTAAATATATTCAATGACCTAGTTCTACTGCCTTACGCACAGGTTTATCATCTCAGTCCTAAATCGTCAAACCCATAATCTGAGATGGCGACCCCTTGTTCAAGAAATCCCCCAGCCAGGGAAGCATCATTCATGTATCCAGTCTGTTCAGTCCTGTCAGAATTTTATACATTTCAATGAGATCCTCTCTTATCCTTCTAAACTCTAGTGAATACAGGTGCAGTCACTGCAATCTCTCCTCATATGACAAACCTGCCATTCTAGAAATCAAGGGATAACAAGGTGTAGAGCTGAATGAACACAGCAGGCCAAGCAGCATCAGAGGAGCAGGAAGGCTGACGTTTCGGGCCTAGACAATCTGGTGAACCTTTGCTGTGCTCCCTCTTTGGCAAGTATATATTTTCTGTCATAGCACCATAAACTACAAGCAATTCTCCAGGTATGGTCTCATAAACGCCTTAGGCAGCTACAGGAAGAAATGCTTGCACCTGTACTCCAAATCTCTTGCAATGAAAGCTAACATACCAGTTGCCTTCTAAACTGCTTGCTGCACCTGCTTTTACTGTCTGGTTGTACAAGGACAGCTAGGATCTTTTGTACATGAATATTTCGCAATCTGCCACAATTAAACAATACCCTGCTATCATGTTTTCCTACCGAAGTACATAACTTCACATTTAACCATATTATACTGCATCTGACCTTCAGATGTCTAAATTGCATTGAAGCGTTTTTACTTCCTTTTCACTACCTCATAATTCCGGTTTTGTACCATCAGCAAACTTGAAATTATTAAACGTGATTCCCTCATCCAAAACATTGACATATATTGTGAATAGCTGATGTTTCAAGCATTGACTTCTATGATTCCCCACAGGTCACAACCTTCCACTCCAAGGAAGGCCCATTTAGAGTCATATAGCACTGAAACAGGCCCTTTGGTCCAACTCATCCGCACCAACCAGACAACCCAATCTGACCTAGATTTACCAGTATTTGGCCCATATCCCTGTAAACCCTTTCTATTCATATACCCACCAGATGTTGTAACTGTACTTGCCTTCACCACTTCCTCCGACAGGTCATTCCATATATGCACCACCCTCTGCATGAAAAAGTTATCCCTTAGAACCTTTATAATATTTCCCCTCTCACTTTAAAGCTATGCCCTCTAGATTTCGACTGCCCCACCCCAGGAAAAAGACATTGGTTATTCACCCTATCCATGCCCTTCATAATTTTATAAATCTTTATAAGGTCACTCCTCAGCGTCCAATGTTCAGGGAAAAAAGTCCCAGCCTATTATTCATCCTTTCCCTATTAATCAAACCCTTTGGTCCCAGCAACATCTTTGTAAATCTTTTCTGCACTCTCTCAAGTTTAACAATATCCTTCCTACAGCAGGGCGACCAGAACTGTAGCAGTATTCTAAAAGCGTCCTCACTGATGTCCTGTACAGCTATAACATCACATCCTAACTCCTATACTCAGTGCTCTGACCAATGAACGTAAGCGTGCCAAACACCTTCTCCACCACCCTGTCTACCTGCAACACCACTTTGAAGGAACTATGCATCTGCACCCCTAGGTCTCTTTGTGCAGCAACACTCCCCAGGATCCTAGCATTAATTTTATTCCTACTCTATTTCTTGTCTACTCACCGGTTCTGAATCCATGGCAGTATATTAGTTGAATCCTCTGTGCATTAATCCTGTACACCAACTCCTTATATGGGATTTCATTAAAAGCTTGAAAATTCGAATACACTGCATTCACTGGTTCTATCTTACCTTAGAATATGAACAGAATCCCTATAGTGTGGAAACAGGCCCTTTGGCCCAACAAGTCCACACCGACCCTCAGAGCGTCCCATCCAGACCTATTCCCCCACCCTTTCCCTGCAACCCACCTAATCTACACATCCCTGAATACTACGGGCAATTTAGCATGGCCAATTCCCCCAGCCTGAAAATCTTTGGACTGTGGGAGGAAACCAGAGCACCTGGCAAAAGCCCACGCAGACGTGGGGAGAATGTGCAAACTCCACACAGACAGTCGCCTGAGGGTGGAATCGAACCCAGGTCCCTGGTGCTGTGAGGCAGCAGTGCTAATCGCTGTGCCACTGTGCTGCCCCAAAATATATGGACCGCTTCACAAATTTGGGTGTCATCCTTGCCCAAGGGCCATGCTAATCTTCTCTGTATCATTCCAAGTTTAGTATATGTGCTGCCGAAGCAAGCCGAGGTTTATCCAATAGGTTTATCAAACTTGTTTTCTCTTTCATAAATCCATATTGACTTTGTCTAATCCCATCGACATTTTCTTAGTGTTCTGTTCTCATGTTCTTTATAATAGATTCTACCATTTTACCTTCTACTGATATCATGGTAACTGGCCTGTAATTCCCTGTTTTCTCCCTAGCTCCTTTTTTAAAGGAGTTACATTTACCACTTTCTAATCTGTCGATAATGTTCTAGAATCTACATAATTTAGGAAGAATACAATGAATACATTGCTATTTCCAATGCTACATCCTTTAATATGCTGGGATTTGTTAGCTTTGAGTTTCATTAATTTCACGGACATTTTCCTGCTACTAATATAAATTTCCTAAATTTCCATCTTTTGAAGAGACTCTTGTTCCCCTTTCATTTCTTGGAAGTTATGATTTCCTTTTCCCATGAAGACAGAGGTGAAGTGGCTTTTAATTGCTTTGCCATTTCCCTGTTCTTCTCAATCAATTCTTCCTTTTCTGTTTGTAAAGGGCTTTCATTTATCTTCAAAAATCTTTTTCTTGTTACATACTGCTAGAAGCTTTTACTCTATTTTCCCCTACTTAATCAATCATTGTTTGGTCCTTCTTTCCTGAAATCTAAACTGCTCCCAATCATCAGGGATACTATTTTTTCTAACAACTTTAGATGACTTCTCTTTGAATTGAATACAGTGCTTAATTTCTCCTGTTAGCCAAGGTTGGGCTACTATTTCTGTTAGACTTTTTGTCCCTTAAAACTCAGCCATTTCATAGTTACCAATAAGCCTTTTCATTTAAAAACCAAAAGAACCGTGGATGCTATAAATCAGGAACAAAAACGAAGTTGCTGGAAAAGCTCAGCAGGCCTGGCAGCATCTATGAAGGAAAAAACACAGTTAACATTTCGGGTCCAGTGACCCTTCCTCAGAATTTTCCGTGTATTCAGGCAGTGTATTGCAACTCACCCCTCATATTTTCTATGTTTTGCTTTTAGATTTGGGACCCTGTTTATGGATTTGACTACTGTATTTACTATCCCAATGAAGAATTTTATCATGTTACGATCACTCTTAAGGGCTTTGGACAACAAGATTATTAATTGACTCCTCCTCATTGCACAAAACCAATTCTACGACAGCCTATTTCCTAGTTAGTTCCTCAATGTACTGGTCAAAAAGTCATCTTGTACACACTCTAGGAATTCATTATCACTACATTATTGCTATAGAGATTTGCCCAATCTATATGCAAATTAAACTTATCCACGATTACCTTATCATCCTTGTTACACGCATCTCTAATTTCATGTTTAACGTATTCCCCAACCTTCTCACTACTGTTTGGAAGCCGACAAATAAAACCAATGTCTTCTGCTCCCTTTTGCTTCATAGCTTCATCTAGCCATCCAACGTTTGATGGAAACTCTCTGAATTCTGCTGACATAGTACAGTTTGTGGAGGACAATGGCCCAAGGACAGGAACACAATGTTCACCTGGGAATCATGGAGCATTAAAGTGTATGTAATGATGATCTCATTGAGAATTACTTTGAAACAGTAATTCTAGGCTTCAAAGATCAAACCATGGCTCTGCCCGATGGTAATGTATAATTAGCTCATTTGTATGGTAATGTGAATTCATTTGCACCTTCAATTTTATGGGCCATCATTTTCAAAAATGCTGTAATTTCCTAAAAATCTTCAAGGTGGCACAGAAAGTCCCTGTTTGATTTGGCTCCACCTATGTATCTAAGTAACATTTTCTGTGCTGATCTACAGATCTTAGTTAACTAATGAATATCTTGGCTCCTTATTGTAAACGTTCACAAGAACAACAGCATCAGAATTTGATAAAAGAAAAAGCAAGGTGACCAACAGTACTGTTCATATTAAGCCCAGAAGATTTGAGAAAGACTCCATTAGTGGAATGGTTCCATTATTGTTAAGCATCAACATCAATATGATGGAACTCTTTTAGTGATCAGAGAGTCCTTTGTTGATTTTGAAACTCTCAAGTTACGTAAACAGAATTTTAGCAAGTAAAACAAAAATTGGCTAAGTGTAAAATATCAGTCATCTCCTGAAATGAGCATGGTTAATAATATTTAAATTAATATATTACTGAGCGAAATGCTATTAGCAGTATTTAAGGTGCAGTGGTAATTGAACTGTGCATATTGTTAATTATATCTTGAAACTAAATATTAACCTTGATTATTCTGATAAATGTATGCTTAAAATGTTAAAAATCTGGTTTTATACAATGTGTGGGTGGTCAAGGAAGGCTGCATTTTTTGTTATATTTTATTGACGAGTGATTTGTTCTTGGACTCTAAACAACATTTGCCACTAAAGTATTGATACTGTACTAGTTCAATATTGTTATTCATTCATGGTTGTGGGTCTCACTGGTTAGGCAGGCATTTATTACCCATCCATAATTGACCACAAGGAGGTCTTGGTGAGCTGCCTTATTAAACTGTTGCCATTCTTGGGGTGCAGGTATACCTACAGTACTGTTAAGAAGGGAGTTTCAGATTTTGACCCAGCAAGTGAAGGAATGGCAATATAAGTCTACATCAAGATAATATGAGGTTTACAGGGGAATTTGCTGATGATATTCCCATGCATTTGCTGCCTTTCTCCTTCTAGTTGGTACAAGTCATGGGTATGGAAGGTGCTGTCGAAGGAGCCTTAATAAGGTACTGCAGTGCAAATGGTACACACCGCTGTCATTGTCCATTGATGAAGGGAGTCAATGCTGAAGATGGGGTAACAATCAACTGGCTTGTTATGTTCTTGATAGTGTCAAGCTAATTAACTGTTGTTTGAGCTGCACCAATCCAGGCAAGTGGTGAGTATTCCATCATTCTCCTGATTTGTGCCTTATAGACGGTGGACACGCACTGGCGAGAGACAGGTGTGTTACACACTGCAGAATTCCTAATCTCTGATCTGTTCTTGTCTCCACAGTATTTAAATGGCGAGGCCATTCAGTTTCTGGTCAGTGGTGATACCCAACATGTTGACATGAAAGATTGAGCAATGACAATGCCATTAAATGTCATGGGATCATAGTTGGGTTCTCTCTTACTGGAGATGGTCATTGCCTAATACTTGTGTTGTACAAATGTTATTTGCCATTCATCAGCCCAAGCCTGAATGTTGCCCAGGATTTGCTGCATATGTAAATGTATTACTTCAGTTACAGAGGTGTTGCAAATGGTATTGAACATTGTGCAATCATCAGTGAACTAATGACGAGGGAACATCATTGATGAAGCAGCTGAAGATGGTTGGGCCCAGGACAGTAAGCAACTCCTGTGTAACATTCTGGAACTAAGATGATTGCTGTTCAACAACTACAATAATCTTTCTTTGTGCTACATATGACCTCAAATAGCAGAGTGATTTCCCCTCATTCTGATTGATCCTGGGTTTGCTGGCGACTTTTGATGCCATAATCAGTGAAACGTTTCACATCATATCTGGAGTTCAGCTCTTTTGTCCAAATTTGGACCAAGGCTGTAATATGGTCAGGAGCTGAGTGACCCTGTCAAAACAAAACTGAGTGTCATTTAACAGGATATTACTGAATAAGTGCACTTTGTTGCACTGTCAACAACTCTTTAATAGAGAGTAGACCGATAAAATGACAATTGATTGTCTTGCGTTTTGTGCTCAAGACACATTTGGGAAATTTTCTGTATTGCCAGGTAAATGCCACTGTTGTTTCTGTATGGTACAGCTTAGTTTGGGATGCAGCTAATTCAGGAGCATGTATTCTCAATATTATTGGCAGAATGTCTACAGGGTCTATAGACTCACAGTATCCAGCAGCCATCCATTTCTTGATAAGATATACAGCCAATTCAACTGGTTGAAGATGTGAACCTGGAAACCTCAGAAGGAAATCAGGATGGACTTTCCAACTTTGCATTTCTGCCCGAAGATGGATACAAATGCCTTGTCTTTTGCACTGATGTGTTGGACTCCCCCAGAGTTAAGGATCAGGATATTTGTGGAGCCTCCTCCCACGTTCAGTAGTTTGATTGATTACTGCCATTCAGAGCTAGATGCTACAAGACTGCAGATATTAAGTCTGATGAGATTAGATTAAGTTTGGCGGCACAGTGTTTGGGTTAGCACTGCTGCCTCTCAATACCAGGGACCAGAGTTTAATTTTTTTATTCATTCATAGGATGAGGGCTATGTAGCATTTATTGCCCATCCCTTGTTGCCCAGAGGGCAGTTAAGAGTCAAATACATTGCTGTGGGTCTGGAGTCACATGCAGGCCAGACCAGGTAAGGATGGCAGTTTCCTTCCCTAAAGGACATCAGTGAACCAGAAATCGACAATGAGTTTTTCCAACAATTGACAATGGATTCATCATTAGACTCTTAATTCGAGATATTTTATTGGACACAAATTCCACCATCTACCATGGCGGGATTCGAACCCGGGTCCCCAGAATGTTATCTGGGTCTCTGGATTAACAATCCAGCTATAATACCACCAGGCCATCGTCTGCCCTAAATTCCAACCTTAGGTGACTGTGTGGAGTTTGCACATTCTCCGTGTCTTCTGGGTTTCTGCTGTATGCTCTGGTTTCCTCTCACAGTCCAAAGATGTGTGTTGGGTGGATTGGCTTTGCTAAATTTCCCCATAGCGTCCAGGGATGTGCAGGCTAAGTAAATTAGTCAGGGTAAATGCGGGTTTATAAGGATAGTTTGGGGAGGGTGGGATGCTCTTTGAAGGGTCGGTGCAGACTTGATAGGCTGAATGACCTCTATCTGCACTGTAGCGATTCTACGATCTGCAAATCTCATATCAATTAGCCACATCTCAGTGAAGAATAACAAAACAAAATCAAACTCTCCAATGTCAGCAGCAACCCAGCTGAATTAAGGAAGGCAGAATAGTTATGCAGTTTCCTTTCTATCAACATGGATTCTGATTCCAGCAAAATTCTTGGAAAGGCACT